TCAGAGAATCACACAGTTCAAACACAAGAAATGCAATAATATAAAAAACACATTTGTTCATTGGTCCATAAAGGGCAGATGACCAATGTCCATAAATGTTAATATGTTCATAAATATCCTTAGATGTCCTGGATCCTCACCACTGTCCATAGACCCCTCACCACTGTCCTTAGACTCTGCATTGACAAGGAACAGCTCAAGCCCTAAATAGAGGTAGTATCTTTTGCTATCAAAATCAAATTGTCTTCTTTCTTTGTGGTGGATTGAAGCGGAATATAATTATTAATGCGAACATAAACATTAGGGACTGAATCATCCTCAACACCTGAAAAGTAATATCTCAAGCTGTAATGCAGACTGAAATATGCTAATAATGTTATTCACTTATCCCATTATGAAATGAATAACAGACTTCAAGTGTATACCATATCCATATCTCATTATCTGTAGACACTGTGGTCATAACCGTCCAGCCCTCATCACAGCTGGCACATGTGGAGTCATTAATGGATTAAGAGAGATCAGAAATCCTTGAGAGCACGATGGGGTCATCAGGGAGACACCAATTTACTGCAGAGATCTGCTGAGTCTGTTCCTTTTCTGCTCTCGACCTGTTCCTCACGCTTCCTTTGTGGTGTACATCCAGATCATTATAAAGCCATTCATATCAGCCACTTAGGACATACATCATGCCAAAACTGACTTTAAGTTGCCTTTTAATTTTCTATTGTTAATCAGTGCAATATGTTTTTTGCAACAGAAATTAAGTCCTACCCTTTTAGCTTTTACTAAAACAAAAGCTGTGTTAAAGGAATAACAAATAGAGATAATACAATTATAAAAAATATAAATAAATACAAATTAAATACAAAATATGAAAGATATTTGCACACATTGTCTTTATGAATACAATTCTCTAAAGCTACACTTGACACAAGTTTTTATATTGGAAACATTTGACTTCAGAGTTTCCTTATGTATATATTTAAAACAATGTTGCCTTGAAAGCGGTACATTATTGCATTACTTAGACACAAGGGGGCGCTGTGTGTCCTCTGGCTTAACGTTAGTCTCGAGGACTCAGCTCTAGTGAGAACCCAAATATCTTTAGGCTGGTTGTACAATAGTGTGAGTAGAAGTGGTCCCTTATAGCTCAGTTTGTTTTGCCTTTATGGCAGAAATGGTCTGTTCCAGCTCTTTATTCCTTTATACAGTTGTGTGTTTTAGCAGTAGGACATTGACCTGGCGACCTGCCCCTAAACCTCAGACAGATCCAGTGCTGTGAATGGAGCCGGGGGCTCAACACCAGCTGAGATTCAGTTTTGGAACTCCCCCCTTCCCCTCTTCTCTCCTCTTCCTCCAGGACGGGTGCACTCTGGAGAGGCCATACAGCCTTCAGGGGAACATAACCGGGAATGGGAAAGCGCTCTGTTCTGCTCTGCATTTCTACACCTGCCTCAGCCATTTCCTCCCCTCATATTGGGAAAGTCTAATAAGCCCCATGATCGCTGCACTAGTGTGATTTCATCCTGGGGTTGTTTTTGCTAAACAGTTTAGCTCCCTATAGACATGACTCTGTTTCCCGCTGTTGAACAAACAGTTCATTCAAAGACTTCTCCAGCATATGATCTGAATAAAATCTGTTGATTGTTTTATTATATTTTACAAACCACACTCACATTACAGTAGGTGACATGCCAAATTCAGCACCACGGACAGTTCTTACCTAGATTGAATACCTTTGCTTTTATTATTTAAAGCTTGACCTGGTAAATGCTGGATACACAAGTTCACATTAATTTTAATGAAGCTTGAGAATTGGTCTAAATTGTAATTAATTGCTTGTGCATGCATCAGTCAATATAGTCTTTTGTATTATTAACATCCCATTTTTTGCCGAGGCTCACAAGAAGAAAAGCCCTGGAACAATAGATTTTTGTTTATGCAGCGCTGAAGTCTGGCTATTGTAATTTTGGATTATTATTGAGTAGAGGCTCTGGGTGTTTTCTGAATTTTCCCTCTATGAGCGTAAAATTGTGTTTTTCAATAGTTGAGCTCAGCAGTAAAAGCAATGTATATGTAAATATGAGAGAGGAACAGAAGTCTTTATCTATAATACCTGAATACATTCACGTTTATAAAGTTAGTGCCAGAGTGTGGAAATGTTAAACTCTCAGTGGCTTTAAATTATTCACTTACAGACAGAGGATATAGTGCAAATTTACTGCCACTGCTACTACTACTGCTGCTTCTACTACTACTATTACTACTACCACTACTACTACTATTGCTACTGCTGCTACTACTACTGTTACTACTACTGCTACTACTATTACTACTACGACTGTTGCTTCTGCTGCTATTACTGCTGCTGTAACTTTTACTACTACTGCTACTACTATTACTACTACGACTGCTGCTGCTACTGTTACTATTACCCACTGATGTCTGCTGTCGTTGTGTCCTTGGCAAGACACTTAACCTCTGGGAACACCAGCCACAGTGGGGCGGCTGCGGCTGTAAAGTGCCAAACTGCCGTTGTGTCCTTAGGCAAGACACTGTGTGTGTATGAATGGTTGGTGGTGGTCGGAGGGGCCGATGGCACATACTGGTTGCCTCACTTCTGTCAGTGTGCCCCAGGGCAGCTGTGGCTACAGTAGTAGTTTATCACCACCGTGTATGGAGTGAATTAATAATGACATGTAAAGCGTCTTTGAGTGTCCAAAAAAGCGCAATATAAAAACTATGCATTATTATTATTATTACTATTACTACTACTATGACTACTGCTACTACTATTGCTACTATGACTGCTGCTACTGCTGGTACTGCTACTGTTACTACTACTGCTACTGCTATTACTACTATGACTGCTGCTGCTGCTGCAGCTGCTTCTGCTGCTACTACTGCTACTACTACTTAGACTGCTACTACTGCTACTACTATTACTACTACTACTGCTGCTGCTACTGCTACTACTTCTACTACTACTACTACGTTGACTTGCCCTGGCTGGCTTAATCATATAGCACTTTTGATGTGAAGAGTGCCAGTACTGCGATTACCAGCAGACAGAGATAGCGGATGACAGCTGCCATTGGTTATAGATGACTTTCATAATTAAATCTCTTATGAGGGAAACCAAAGAACAAAATTGGAAAATCTCAGAAATGACAAACGACCATATCGTCTTTAACCCGATCCGAGATATTCCACATTGTTATTGACTATTCATTCAAAGGTGATCTTTATAAAAGGCTGCTCAGTTTGTGTGCTACACAACGACACAAAATGGGAGACAGTGTTAAAATCCTGGTGCATTTGGTGTAATTTTACTGCAGCCTTGATGGCACTGGTGTCTAGGGGTAATTTTGGCTCACTAACACATACAGCACTATGTCTGATCCAGGTCCTAGTGACTGTAGTGGCTCTTGGATTTTGGAGAGTCTTTTAGATGTGGAATTCACAATAGTTACGAGTCGAACAAAGCTTCATTGTGTTTGCATTGTGTTAGCAGTGCACTAAACACAAAAAGAAAAAAGCTGTTAGTTATTGTTGCAGCCCACGCTAAATAATTTAGACTAAAAGATGGACTTTTCATGCTACTGATGTATAATTGTTTTGGCACTTCATCATTATTTAAAAGTTGACTATTGGTGGTAGTCTGTAAAAGTGTAACTCGGCAATTTAAACCAAATGTCTGGCACACATTTATTAAATCTAAAGTGACTGAGTGAAAGCCAAGCCTTTGTTTGTAGTTGTGAGGATTGTGGCTTGCAATTGTCAATTTTCTAGTGTAATAGCCAAGATTATCAGCCTTATAACATATAGGCTTGGTATATCTCACTTTGCCTGTAATCAGTTTATAATAGTAGTTTCACATTATAAGTCAAATTACAGAAGTTAATAGATGTTTGAATTATATTATATATTTTTTTACCTGTGGCAAAACAAATCATTACAATTGTCAACACATATTTGAACCCGTTTCTGGTATTTTGCTGTAGGCATAACTTAATTAAATGGGATGTTTTAAGTCTTTTTTTATCTCTTTGTACCAAAAAATTAAACAAAACATCACTTTGGATAATAATCAAACCATGCAGTTCAAAGTGAATGCACAACAAATTGTCCCACTATCTTTCCTCGCATTGTCTGTCTCTTTTCATGCCGCATCCTTTTTCATAAAGATGTTTACCTGCTGTATTATATTCTCGCCTCTCTTCCCCTAGGGCAGAAAGCTCACAGACAGACAGCTGTACTAGATATGACTGAGGCTGAGATAAAAGCCGTCTCAAAACAGTAGCAGAACAAACAGGACATTGATAGTCTGCTCCCCTTCAGGCTTTTGCAAAGTCGAAAAGCCACAAACCCTCGGATCGCTGCATGTTACCCGCGTCTAGGGGGGTAATATAATCATAGGGAATTCCTGCACGTCTGTCCCAGAGCTGTCAGACTAAAGTCACACTCCTCCGCCCCTCCTAACACGCTAACATACCCCTTCAACTCACTCCCTTTTGGTCTGTGACATCACTCTTCCCACGCACTGTGATTGGCTGCTTGCTAAGGTGGGAAGTGGACTGTTCCCTGCAGCCTACAGCCAGTCAGTGAAACCAGCATGAGAACGTGGGAGGGAATGAGTATAGTTCGGAAAGAGAGAGGAAGAGAGAGAGAGAAAGATTGATGCTGAGGCAAGCCGGCTCTGCACTGCACGCTATCACTTCTTAGACACACACGCACACACATACACAACAAGCCTGGACATTACACTACGCCGGCTGCAAAAAAACTGAGTTAGCACGCAGACTCATACTGCAGGACAGGACTGCATGGAGGATTCGAGACCAGAACAAGATTGCAAATACTTTTTTCTCCAAGCTTAGTGCAACAGTTCAGCACACTGTCATCCTGAGAGAATTGTTTTTGAGACACACCTCCCTCAAAACAGCGGCAAGGGCAGGGACAAGGTGAACTTTTTTTTTTTGGATTGGAGATTGTGGATGTCCTCCCTACGTCCCCATGGCAGCAGACCGGATTCGAAGAGGCTGGGGCACAAGATGGCACGACGCGTGGGGGGCGAATGCTCCCCCAAAAGAAGTAAAACATCCCTCAATCTGGTGACAGGAGTCTACCACTATCTTCGTGGTGAGTGGAGTAACATGCAGATTTTTCGGAGTATAGTTGTGCTACTGTTTTACTGCAGTGTACTACATGCGGTCTCCTCTCTGCAGGCGAAATTGTTTTGGCTGTGGGAGGGGTGGTGTGTAAATGGGCAGACGTGGTTGGAGAGGGGGGCGTTTCCACTTTTGGCAGAGTCTGTTTCAGTGTGTGTATGCGGGTCGCCTCAGCCTGCAGCAGGTGAAGCAAGCACACGGGGATAAGGTCTTGGTCCCAGAGCAGTGGGCAGATGTCTACATTTTTCTCTATTTGACCCTGTGGCTGTTTGCCGGCACATTGGGATTGAGTGGCAATTCATTCATACTCTTTTTGCTGGCTTGTCCCAGTATCTGTCTTTATCACTAGCAAGTTGCATAGTACATACTTAAAATATTATAACATTATTGGTGTCTATGGTGTCTCCTCAGATTCTTGTTGCAACATATACAGTACAAAGGATAATGATGATGATAATGATAATTTTGTTAAGGTCATGCTCACTGTAGGGGGTCAGTATTAGACTTAGGGGCTGCAATGAGACTAATTATACAAAATAAAATGTGAATTGAGCCGAATAAGGACTGCTAGGCTCGTTTTAATGACTATGCCATTGCGATATTGAACATTTCAAAGTTCAACCCTGTCCCCTGCGTCTATGACTGGCACCACATCTGCACCCACAATTCCTCTATGCCCCCATCTCCAGATTCAAGCAAGACCTTTTTCTCATTTTCTTCCAATATTACCAGGCATCAATATTTGATCAGCCCCAATCAAAAGATTAATCTATAGTGGAAAGAGATATGCTCACTGGCACGTATGACTATGTGTCTGCATTATGTATGACGAGCAGTCTCCTCCCTGCATAGACACACACACCTTTCTCTCACTCTGTCCCGGTCTACCCACTGACACGGTGACCAACTTCTATCCAGTGTAATCAAACCGTCAGCATATTTCATTAAGCTAAAGGGAGCCAGTGTGTCAAACGTCCTATCTTATCTCAAGGATATTGCACCATGCCCAGATGGGATAAAAAAAAGCCCCTGTCACATATGCCAGTCAGTGTTGCAGTACACTCAGCATGCCAGGTACAGACTGAGGATCTATACAGCCTCTAATGAGAGAAGTGAGAGACTGCATACAGATCTTGTGAAGGAATGGTCCCGACACAGGAGTGCATGTGGTAATGGAATTTGCTGTCAGGCCTTATTATTGCATAAACGGTGGCAGAATTGTGCATCACTGAAAAGATGGGCAGAGGAAATGAAATGATAATGAAGAGAACAATTATTTGCACATTGGCCTACTTTCGAGGAAGTGGCTTTTAGGGGACACGGAGAGGACATCTATGCTATTGATTGTTCTGTTGCCTAATGGTCTTTCTCAGTATCTGCCATGTACTGTACTGTGAATAGTGGTTACAATTATAGTGTTAGTCATGTAGTGTAGCAAAAAACCCCACAAAAGCTCTGAAAAAAACAATTTTATTTTCTGTTTCCTTATTCTTGTATTTCTTAAATTCTTAAGACATTAAATTATTTATTTGTATAACTTCTAATGACATGTTGGGTTCAAAATGTTGAATAAATTTATAATTTAATTTAGCTTTAACATTAGGTATAACAGGCCATAGTAGCCAAATACTATCAATGCTGTTGATGAGTTATAATAAAAATTGAGGGGTCACTAAAAATGGTCTTGTGTGCCATAATTGGGCATGCCTGGTTTAAAGTAACCATACAGAACATTCTGGAGATGGTTGGGTTCTCACTAGTTGACACATATTCAGTACACTAATCAATGTTTGTGTTTAGTTTAGTTGTATCAATGTTGTTGTGAGCAGTAGGGTGGAGTAGACTAATCATTTGATCTGTACAAAATAATAATAAAATCATAAAACATTTCTTTGATTTTGATGTTCGTCAAAATAGTTTGACCCCTAGGTCTCACCTGCGCATTTTTTTTGTTAAATTGTCTTGTATAATGACTCATAGGGATCTTTAAGTATGCAACAAACTAAATTCAAAACAAGACTGTGTTTATTGCGTGCACAGATTACGTACAGACACGCACCTGCAACAAACAGAGAATGGTCCTGTGCGGGTGTCTATGATCTGTGCTGGGTACATTATGACACGCTCCCCACGTTGTTGTCTTACAGTCGCTGTAGGCGGGAAAGGCTATCATTAACACGCGCGCCCCTCTGGCATTTTACCACACTCCCCTAGGGGAGCGCCCCACTATTTGAAAAGTACTGGTCTATGTGAAGTTTGCAAAGGCGCTAACTAACTCAAGTGATAGTACGCATTTCAGATTTTTGTCACACAGTCATGCGTACCTGCGTACCGGTTATGTGCACCCCTGCCTATAATTCTGTATGCAATAGAATCTACAGAAAAAAGTGTTTATGGCTATAAGGTTACATATAAGTGTCTTAAATGTGTATGGTCTCGCCAATATGTACTAATGCACCTTTGAGGAGTGCTGCTCCCCTCTTATGAAAGTGAAGTTTGAAGGTATCTTTCTGCCACCTCTAGCCAAAATGTCATCTTTAAATATCAAATGCCATCTCTTGGAAAGTCTCGTTTTTGTGTCTGTGAAAATATGGAAACGACTTGAATCCAGCTGTTAAAGTCGTGTTAATTATAGTTCACTTGCCACCTAGCTCTGAAAACAATAGACAATGAGATAATTGTATTGTAAGCATTTTGTGTTCGCTTGAGATTTATGCTGATGCTCTGGGCTCTTGATTTACAGATGAGCAAGAGGCAGTGCAGAAGAGGACTTTCACTAAATGGATCAATTCCCACTTGGCAAAGGTAAGGAGACCGCAGGCTGCCAGTATTGAGTTTCTCTTTCCTCCTTTTTGTTGATAATTGTGCAAAATAACTTTCTCATTTATCCCTTCGCATGCAGTCTCCTTTGTGGGGCTGGTCATGGGACTTACTCTGCAGCTTATAGACCACACACACAGCACTTCGTTGGCTGCCTTTCCTTTCCATCACTGCTCACAAATTGCTGGTAGCAAGGATTTGGACCCCAATGCAATTAATACTTTCATATTAATACACATACTATCAGTTGCCTTGAAGCTGTAATTAGGCCTTACTTAGCTCTCTGTCTCAGTGTGCCTCATTTAGATTGTGTTGGATAAAAGATTTAAACATTACATTTAATTTTAGATAGATGATAATAGTGCGGATGGACAGCAGATGTAACCTGAGAAACAGTCAATCAAATTTTTCCATTGACTTAACGCAAAATTAGATAAATAGAGCTTAACCCATATCTCTTTTGGAAGAACTCCCATTACTCCTTTGTTTCTCCTTCATTTGAGTCTTTGAAATCCACCCTGAAAACACATCATGGCACACCAACTGAGTTTTAATGTTTTATACTGTACATGTATTGTGTATTTCATGCGGTTTTTGTTTTGTGCTTGTGCAGCACATTTGGCAGCTGGTGTTGCTGTAAACATACTTTACAAATACACATTGAGTGTGTTTACAAAGCACTATCGAAAACCGAATTCTCCACCAATTTAATTTGATTGATAAAGACCCATCTAAAGCTGTGCGTACTTTTTTGGGGTTCTTAGGGGCTGGTGTGCGCAGAATCGAATGCCATTGAGCATTTATGTAAACGCATCCATCTGATTGTACCATCAGGCAGAGATGCATTTTGTACACAGGGGAATTTTTTTTTATTTAAACGGGTAAGTAGCCTGGTCATACCACACAATAGTACAAATTACATTTCGTACCAAGGTCTGTAGGTGCTCCATTGAGCTCCGTTTACAGATAGGAGGGGTTAACTCATGTATGTAATGCGCCCAAGTGAGTCGTTAGCATTTAGCATTTAGCCTAGCCATCTTCTTTGCCGCTAACGGAGCCCGTGGGGAGTAGCGCCACAATTTTTGCCAGCAATTACAGTACATTTGCTAGACATTCCTCTTGCTCCGGCTTCAATATCTTGATAGAACCAGACGGAATACTTTACTATCACATTTTTTGCCATTGCCAAACTACGACCTGCCCGTTTGACACAAACTCTTGACGTCACCCACAACTAACTACAACACCCACCTCCCGCGCTCACAGATTGGTCGGATGTGCAAACACAGGGGCCAGACCCAGACGTTACATGCAGGGAAATGATAATTGAGCGAAGTGTATGGATGGTTATGGCCAGGCTAACGGGTATGGGGTACTGTCAAATGTTTGGTATGAATACTCTGTCCCTCGTTGCACGTGTTTTTTTATGGTTCAGCAACATGTGTGAAAATCTAGTTTTTGATAGTTGTCTAGTTTTTGATAGTTGTTTTATTTATAATTACAGTTACAAAGTTTTAATAGGAAGGGAAAGTTACAAGACGCCATTGAAAGGTCAAGTGGCTTCGAGCAGCTACTACAATGGGACTGAAACTCGTTAGACCTGTTTGATAATAATCCGACCAATTAACTGCAGTTTTTGAGCGTATTCTTTATACTTCAATTTAATTCAATGTATTTTTGTATTGACCTAAATCACAACAGTAGATATCTCGTACGACTTTACAAAGTTGTTGATTCGCCTACACAGATCAGAGAATTAAACAGTTCAAACACAGGAAATGCAATAGATGCAAAACACTTAGAGCCATCGGTCCATAAGGGGCAGAGGACCAATGTCTATAAATGTTGCTAGATGTCCATAAATGTTGATAAATGTCCATATATGTCGTTGTTGAATGTCGTGGATCATCACCACTGTCCTTAGACCCTCCTACATCGGCAAGGAAAAATTCTAAAAACCCATTGAGATCCAGGACTCAACACGCTTATTGACTCGTAATCCTAAGAATATACTGGTGCTATGTTTTGCAGCAGTGATTCAGAAAATGCTGAATCACTGTTTGGGAATTACACTTCCTCCATGTTCTTGTCTGCCATGGCTCGAAATAAAGTATTCATTCATGCTGTGGCTGTTCCTGATAAAAAAACGAATATTGGAAGCCACACTTTTGTCAGCCCGCCCCAGGAATGCTGTAGCGTTTCCATTATTGAGTTTGTAATGCATACTCCATACTTTGGATATGTTTCTTTGAGAACATTGAGCTATGTGACTACTGTATTTTATCTATTGCACAAATCTTTATGGGCCACTTTACTAAACAATGCAGTTCAAGCAGTTACATTTATGCAGGAGATTGGAATAGAACACAAAAGAAAAACAAATCAATGTAGTACTCAAGCAGGTGTTTTTCCACATCATCCAGATACCTCTCTGGGACACTCACTTGATTTCGACAGCTGTGAAGTTGCGTGCAACAAAGTGACACTGAGTAGAAAACTCATTAGAAAAGCACTCGAGAGGGACTAAATCACAAGGTAATATTAATAAGAAATGCTATGCATTATTTTGGGCCTTTCAGAATTATGTTTTAGAAAGTGATAAAATATCTTGCTTGACAAATTAAATTAAAGAACCCTAACATACTTAGCTTTAGAAACTGGGAGGTTTTCACACACCCCTGAGGAGAAGAGACTTTTTTTGGGAACCGAATAAAGTGGAAAGTGAAGTGCATTTTCTGTTATATTGTCCTTTTTACTACTAATTTAGAAACTTGCATTGTTCCTGATATTGGCTTGTCTCTGTATTTGTGGTACTGTGTCTTATAAGCCCATGTGGGCTGGGCATCCTTGTATGCAAGACACGCAAGATGTCATAATGGTACAATGACATCATACTAGTACAGGAGATGTGTCTGATATTAGCGTGGATTGATCTAAAATCTACTCCAGGACTGTTTTTGATGAGGATGCAATGTTGTAATGAATGTAAAAGCTCAATTTCCCCTCAACAGCATAAAATAACTATAAAATAAACCATTTCAGCTTGAATCTAAGGAATTAAGTGATTGCAGTGTTTAGGTATAAAGGCTTTTGCGGCTGCAGTCATGGCCTCTGCAATTGTTGTCAGAGATCTTTAAACAAAAGGGAATGTGCAGAAAATAAATAAATTGGTTTGACAGTGCTTTGAATACTCATTAAATCTCAAAACCCTTTAATTCCATTTTAATTAACCATTTCATTTAATCAATGGGTTCGCGATAGCATCACATTTCTTTGGACCCAGATAACGATGCAAGGTCCTTTCTGTGCTCTTGATCAAATTACCCGCTCCTTTCTCCCCCTGTCTTGTCTTTTCTCCTCGCTCGTCACAAACTGCTTACCCTTTCACCTGATGCCTGAGGTTTCCATAGTGATGCTGATTTGTCTGTTTGTCTGTTTAAATGTGTTGGACCGTCACTGTTCAAAGAGGGGGAGTAAAAGAGGGGGCTATAGGTCAGTGCTGAGAGTGCGCTATTACTGAGACAGTTTATGTTATTCTGAGCAATTAGAAGTTTAATTACATCTCATGAGCATTTTACATCTACAGTTCCCATATGGTATCTTTGGAACATGATTAGAGTAGTTGTGTATTGTGTAGTGCAGTGAGAAGAATGGTCATGTAGTGGAATTCCTTTGTTGTGAAAACTAACTTATTTTTATATTGTTTCCTTATTATTTAGTTGTGTGAACATTTTGGCAACATTGGGAGACGATTTGAACAGTTCATATCAATCCACTATATAGGCTTTATCCAGTCCTGTCTGTATCCAAGCCCCATGAAATCCTCTCTGGCTTGCTAAATTTGCACATAGCCAAATGCTTAAATAAGGCCCTCAAGACTGTTGTATTTCTGTTTTGTTTTATTAAATGCTGAGCAGTTGCCTTTGGGAGGCGCTCATTCATATTTTAATCAACCAATTTTTGAGGAAAAAGGCTGCGCAGGGCTGCAGTATCAGGCTCCCAACAGGAAGGATGGAGTACCTTTCAGTAGCGCACTGCAGCGTGTGCAGTGTGAACCCCTCTCGTTACTTTTAACTGTTCAGAAAGATTGCAATCACTCCATTGGCGCTGAACGACATTCAAGGTAACCTTTTACACCCCTGGAAAATGGCTGAATAACTCTTGCTAGATTGCTCTTCAACTGTTTCCACAGCCTTTACAAAATGATCGTCAAGAAAGAGTTAAAGGACTGTAATTTCATGACGAGTGTTTAACCAAGCTCTTACATTTGTTCCAATCCATTTATTATGACCCAAAGAGCCAAACAATTATGATCATTCATAGACTATTCTTTCAAAGACAGCCATATTTTTAAATTGTCTACAAACGTGAGAAGAAGTGTGTGACAAGACCATTTTAATGGTTGGTTTAGCACTGGTCTGTTGGGGCAGATCAAGCCTAGGGCCACTCCCGTTATCACAAGTCTTTTAATTCAGTGCCTGAAGGTGTGTTATTAATCGGTCGGTGAGAAGCTGCGCTCACACTTCCTCCGGCTCCTCCCCCTCACTTTCCACTCCACAGGTACAACAAAAGAACCCTTCTATACCCCGATATAAAGACTTTTTCTATATGAGGTAATTTACTCCTGAGATTAATGGGGCTCATTATACCCAGCGGTTCATCAGATTAAGTTTAGACCATCAGAAGTTGAATTGTGGGAGGGCATCACGAGAGAATCCAACTGTTTCCACACTATGTGCACTTTGAGGAAATGATCCATACTATCATTTTCAAGGCTTTATTGAACAGTCTTTTAACATTGCTTGTTATTAGGAACAATATTTGACCAAGAACTGTACTACTATTTTCCTCCCCCAAAACCTAAAAAGATGGGTCAATTGATCAGACTATAAGAGAATAGTTTGAGTCATTTACATTTTTTATTTTATTTCTTTATATTATTGTATTGTTTCGCTTTGCTTTTAAATCTTCTTTCACTGTGTCAA